TCTTAGCCTTCTTGCAGCTTTTTTATTAGCTTGCAATTATTTCAAGAGAAAACAAAGAAAGGGCATTGAAAAGGGAATAAGTTTCTTGCCGTGTGGCTCAGTGTTGCTAAGGTCGTGCCTGTCACCGTGCACCCCTGACACCACCTCAAAACCACCTGTGGTTCTTGTCCACAGGGCGGGACCCAGGGTCCTCCGAGCCTTGGGCTGGGGGCCGACGGGCGGGGGAAGGGCCGGGCTGCAAGGGGCGGGGAGAGCGCCTCGTCTGCCCACCGGAACGTCTTCAGCTCAGACAGGGACGGCAGGAGGCTCTGCAGCAGCAGGACGCTGGCATCACCGTCATCACAGAGGTTAACCTGGGACAAGCTGAAAAGGACCAAGGATATTCCAGAACATTTCAGACTGGACACACCTCAGGGGTTGTCACGTACAGACGGGGCAGCCGGGGAGGGGAAAGGGCCCCCAAGAGCTCCTCTTTGCCACCCAGGGGCTCTCCCCTCACTGGCCGAATGTGACCTGTGTAAGGAAATGACGCTGCCAGGGGCACAGGTGGCCTGGAGTAGGCGCCGGGCTCGACCAGGGAACCGGGGCCCGGTGCTTCCGGGTGCTGACCTGAGCTGCCGCAGCCTGGCACACGCCTCCATCAGCTGCCTGACGAGAAGGCTGTGGTGGGTCCCAAGGTCACAGTGAGCCAACCTGGACGGAGACAGGGAGGGGGCCGTTTCTGAACGCCTGCTCCCGCAGGGTCAATTCAGTCCCTCCTGCAAGGAGCTTATGGTATAGGGGAAAATAAACTGATCAAACAAAGCCCCATCATTTGCTATTCAGCTATGAGATGCACCAGGAAGGGGGGGTCGCAATGGGGCAGCCGGTATGGTTGTGCAGGCTGTTCACTGCACAAGGGCACCCAGCCAAGGAGGTGAGTTGGGGCTGGGACACACGCTCCGTTCCCAGGGTGTATATATGGAGGGCTGCATTCGCTCAAAAGAGGCGGCGTCCTAATTTCCCTAACTGTGCTGTATGGAAGAGAAGTGCGGTGTCCAGGCCTCTATGAGACAGGAGTATGTGACATGGGACTCAGTCATGGGGCTCGGGGGCCTCCCTGAGGTGGTGGCATTTAAGCTGAGACCTGAAGGATGAGGAGGAGGTAGCCAGGTAAGGAAGGAGGAAGAGGGTTAGGTGAGAAGAGAACGTTCTGGGCAGAGGGGACGTCCTGTGCAAAGGTCCTGAGGTCACAGACAGCAAGGCAGTGTTTCAGGGAACTAAACGCTGGGGGGAGGACAGGAGCTGAGGCCAGGGGTGGGCGGGGCTGGAAGGCAGCGTGCGGGGCCGGCCAGACCTCACAGGTGAGTAAAGACTTCGGACATTAAAGGACTGGGCAGGAGCAGCCCTGTCCCTCCCACGGCCAACTGCTCCCCTGCGCCCCGCGCTGGTCCCACCTGAGGGCCACCACCTCCGGGTTCTCCTGGCGAGGGAATTCCAGCTGGACGCGCAGCTGCTGCCCGGTCTCAGAGATGCTGAGGACGGAGGGAGGCCGGCGTGAGGCCAGGTGGCTCCGTGCCAGGCGGCTGTCCCTGGCACCCGGGCCGCCTGGCCTCCTCCTGGGCCCCCTCCTGCCCTCCAGGGACCCGCTTAGGATGGCAAGGCGGTCGCCTCCCTGAGTCACACACTCTCAAAGCGGTGCCTTTGCAACAACCGTGACTTAATAAGTCCAGGAGGCTTTTCAGACCAGGACAGAAAGCCACCAGGGAGGCCGAGGAGAGGCCAGGATTTCCTGAGGGAGGGGACCAAGGCCGCAGCGTGGTGCGAGGGGCGGGGGGTCTGGGGGCTGCACTTGCACTCCGAGCTCTGCGTGTACCTGAAGGTTACGCTAATGGGGCTGGTTATGGGGAGAGGGCTGAGGGGCCTTACAGTCCCCAAGTGTCTCCTGGGTCGCTCCTGGCGGGAGGGAGGAAGCAGCAGGGACGGCTGTGTGGCTGGGACAGGACGCGGACGCCCTTCCCTGCTGCCATGAGGGTGTCATCACACCCCCGTTTAGAGCAGCGGGCGGTTGAGGCCAGAGTGGCCGGGCTGGGATCCCAACACAGGCCAGTGGGGTGCCCAAGCCTTTGCTCTTAGCTACTCCATGTCATTCTGTCATCTCTGGTCTCAGAGCCGTGACGTGTGTCACTGCATCCAGGGGCCACTTCCCAGCAACCAGCGTGGACTCCCAGCCACGGCTGCCTGGACCCAGCAGCCCTTCGTCTCGACTCTGGGGAAGCTTTGCTCTGACACTGTGGCTTGACTACTGCACGGGTCCTAACAAACGTGTGTAGCACCGCACGTATGCCCCGGGAACTCCTGCCATCCTGGGGACACAGAGAACTCACTGGCGACACAGCTATTATCCCATGGGAAAAGAGGGAAGGTCCCAACGTCGTGAAAAGAAGAATTCCAAGAATTCCTCCTCCCTGGACTCACCTTATTTCAGTGACGTTGCCTGAGGCCTGGCTGCAGACTTCTAGGAGGGCCAGCACCCCGGCTCTGCCCACCCACGGCTCTTCCACCCTGTAACAGAAAGGGACACAGGTAGGGGCCCCAGGGTGAGTAGCGGCCAGTTGGCACACTTGGGGAGGGGGAGAGGCGGAGTGACGAGGGGCCTAGAGGCATTTTCGTTTTGTGCTTTTTTTTTTTGAGACAGAGTCTCACTTTGTTGTCCAGGCTAGAGTGAGTGCTGTGGCGTCAGCATAGCTCACAGCAAACTCAAACTCCTGGGCTCAAGCGATCCTCCTGCCTCAGCCTCCCGAGTAGCTGGGACTACAGGCATGAGCCACCATGCTCAGCTAATTTTTTGTATATATATTTTTAGTTGGCCAATTAATTTCTTTCTATTTTTAGTAGAGATGGGGTCTCGCTCAGGCTGGTTTTGAACTCCTGACCTCGAGCA